CCAGGTCACGAAGCCCAGAGTGGGGAGCCGGACCCAGACATACAGGAGCTGCTGCACTGAGTGAATTTTTCATTTCATATTGCAAAAAAAACACAGGGCTCTACTTATGCCCCAGTCCATTTAGCACAGCCAAACCCATGTGCCCATGCCAAGTTGCATGGAAGTCAATGGACATTGCACGAAGCAATTTACAGGAATGGGGCCTGGGTTTGCAGCCAGCCATATGTGAACTGCTCTCACAAGTAACTATGTTATCTCAACATGGCAGGAGAGAAGACAACTTTTAATGAGTCTAAGCTGCACATTTGCAGTAGCAGGGTAGATCTACAGTCAACCAACTTTCTCACTCTCTCTGCCCCTTTCCTCAGTCCTATGCTTCTGAGCACTGTTAAGACTACCTACAATGCCAAACGTAATAATCAGGTACCTGTAAGACCACCAAGCCCCAGGCTTCAGAGATAATTATTCAGGATGGATTGATTAAATCACCTAGAGGAAAGCCTTAATTTATATAGTTGATTTTAGTCAACTTTTTCATTTGTACTTTAGCTATTTTCTAAATAAAGGTCCATTCTCATTGATTTACAACTAAATAGAGCCTTTACACTAGATTTGGTACATCTTTTTGGTACTTAAAAGGTTACACTATATTTATATACTTAATATTTTCAGACTCTTATTAGTTGCACGTTTTTAGTATGTTAAGCAATATATCATTCACCATTTTCTATTTACTAAATAATTAAACTTTTTCTCATTATGTGTGTGCATTAGGATGGTAACTGGAATGTAATTAAACATACAGAATATCATATAAAATTTATTTTTATTAAACAAAACAACCTTACATGTTTTGGCTACATAACTGTCTCTTATCAAAACATGTTTCACATTTACAACATATGTTGTATTAAATTTAGATTTCATTTTAAACAGGATTTAAAACAAAAAACAAAATAAAAAAATTGATTTAAATTAAAAAAAAAAAGAAGATTTTATCCATCCTGATTGGATTTTTTTAACTGTATTTAAGTAACAAATACCATAAAAAAAATCCAATCAACTCAAGACAAATTTAGGTGACAAATGTGAAGACTTCATATTCTGTTATCAGGGGGGAAAAAAAAAAAAAAATCTAAAAAAATAAATAAATAATTAAAATGTGTATTTATTCTTGATTTCTCTGCTAGGCCTTAACCCCCCACCCTATGATATCACTAAGTGAATCAAAGATATTTGTTAGCTTAGTATAATAAACTACTTGTGCTGATGAACAAGATACTGTAGAAAGCCCATAAAATCCTGCCAGCCATAGGGCAGAAATCTAACACATTTTAGCTGACAGCATTGCAAATACCACTTTTTACCTTTTATGTGCCAAGTGTCTGCCATCGAACTAACTAAAAAATAAAAAAGGCAGCCCATAGAATATTAGACTATTTACATAATCAAATTTGGAGCCATATTCCTGTAGAAAAGTCAGGTTGTGAGATTCATCCAGTATACCTGGATGTGTTTATTAACTGGATACTTATCTTAAAACAGATCACCAATTAAATGATTAATGCTATATAAAGAGACTGCTAGGAAACAATTTCAAATTAGTTCAACTAGCATAGCTTTTCCACCAGTATGGATGGATCATAATTGGATTGAAACTAATTGATCAACACTGGCTATTTAAAACTGAATTGATTTTTAAAAGCTGTGCCTTTCAACAGTGTAGATAGGGGTCTAAATATAGGTATATTTAATTTAAAAATTCACAGCAGGGCTTGAAAACAAATACACTCACCTACTCTCCAATGGTAACTTTCCTCTCTGTGAGTGAGATGATGAAGGGCACTAAGCTATTGTTTAGTTACGCATTTATAAAAGAGTTTTAGCCCTCATGATTATGAATATAAGTATACAAATGTGAACTGTTGCAGTGCTGTTTTCCTAAGGTCTTGTCTAAACCAGGATAAAAGGTTTTTTTCTTGTTTTTAAAGTGTTAGATAACATTTTAAAAGCCTAAAGTAAACAAGGCCACTTGCATTTTAACACATTAGCTGGTAAAGATGAACTCTAGGTGACCACAGATTTCTATAGTTCCTGTTGATGTGGGAAACTACAAAATAAATTGAATTTGTTTATAGGGCAGATTCAGGATTGGGAGTTTATAAAGGAGTGCTATTTCATCATCCTGAAAGTTCTTCTGTGATGCACAGTGCTGCTATGAATCCCATACACCCTACATGCTGGGTATGGTACAGTGTGAATGCAAACAGATACTTACTTTATATTACCTTCCAAAATAAAATCCTCAATTAAAAATGAAACATTCTAAATGATTTTAAAACATACAAAATTAGTTCCAAACCTAGCATTGTCAGAATTCCTTAGAAAGCTCCACTAAAAGAGATTATTTTTAAACAGTTAGGAAATTACTGCTACTGTATTTCTAAACTAGTCAGGCACTAGTTACCACCATGTAATATCGCCCAGTAAACCCTAATCTTAGTTTCACCAGATTTTTAAAAAACAGTAAATATCACTTTACATAAAAAATATAATGGCCTTGGTTTGTCCCCTCTACTAACATTAAATCACTTGAGTATAAACGAACTCCAAACAAAATATTTAACGTGGAGTCAATATAAAACTCTAGTGGTCTGGTGGCAAAAGTAATTTACAGGAACATAGTTAACTTTAAATCTAGATAATTTCAAAGGAGTCAAAGGTAATTTCAGGCATTATACCTATCCCCAAATTCTATTTGTTTTTGCTTTTAAAATCTTTGGACCTCATCCTGCAGAGAGCTTCATGTTGCAGATTCCCACAACTCTTGCAAGATTGAGCATTTCAGAATAAGCCTATTGTCTTTCTGTCACTGTGTGAAAGAGCCACACAAACGACAGGGAAATCTGTTTACACAAGGGAAAGAAGGAAACTAGCTACACACAAGTGCTATCCAATAAATTGACAACAGGATTTTTCCTTTTAGAATAATCTTACAAGTTAGGTATGAAGTAAACGTTTCTCAGGCAGAAGTGCAAGTTTTAAACTGACAGCTTCCCTTTAATTCACAGCACGTTTATCATGATGATGATGATGACCAGGCCTCTGATAACCAAGATAAATATTTCTCTTGCCCCTCCCAAAATACAAAGTCCTTTACACAACAATCTACAAGCCCCCGCCTCTAGGATATCACCATTATTATTTGCACACAGTGTCAGGCAGATAGTTACAGCTGTAGCAAAGCCCGGTCCCCCCGCCAGCGCCAGGCCGGGCTCCTCTGCGGGCGGCGGCTCCAGCCCGTTCAGACGCCTGCACCCCACCCGCGGCTTGGCCCTAGGTGCCGGGGGCTTCCTCCGCCGGCCAGGGAGAGGCTGTCGCGTAGGGCAGCGGGAGCCGCACTCACCTGCGGGCAGGGGCCGCTGCTCACTCGGCCTGGGCCGTACCCCCGTCACCTCCTTCTCTAGCCTCACACTGAGCAAATTCAAACACAAGCGGCCCGCCTCCCCTCGCCACCTCATTGGCCCGCACTGCCATGACGTCTCTAGTGCGACCGCGCCGAGGGCAAGCGGGACTGATTTGATCGGAGCGAGGATCCGTCCGGGCTCAGTTCAGTCCTGGTAGGCCTGGTGGTGGGGGCAGCGCTATTCTTCCTGCTAGGAAAACGTGCCCCGTGCCTAGGGGGTTTGTGCTTGTTCCTTTTGGGGTGTTGTCACGTGAGAAAGGGGAATATAATTCCGAGAAGCCCCTTTCAGGGTCCTGTTCTGCCTGGGGGTGGGAGGCAGGTGGCCTACCGGGCGGGCCAGCAATCCATCGTGCACAAAGGGGTGAGTGGGGGAAGGTGCATTAAGCCCCCGGGTGGGGGTGCGAATGATACTCATAGGGCTACATGCCACGTTGTACTGCATTTGGATGAATACATCACAAATAGTTGTACAGGTAGCTGAGCAAATTTTATAAGAGAACTGGTGAATATTGTAGAAATCAACCACATTTCACTTTAAAAGGCAAACGACTATTCGCAAACAATCTTTTGTACTATGCATTTGTCTCGACATGTTGCCTACACAGGCTCACAGCAGGTAGTATGTCACACACCCGTGTAAAAACAATTATGGATGCGTGATTACAGTGCTGCTCGAGTGGGAACGAGTCTGCATGGGTGCAACAAGCCCTGCTAGTATCAACATTCATTCAAGAGGAAGATAGAACAGAGATTGGGAAACTAACAATAGTTTAGCATGCATGCCCACAAAGTATTGCTGGATTGGACTAAAACTTTACTCAGCCTTAATGTTTGAAATCGTGACTGGCACTTCTGTAGTAGGCTGTGTGTGTACAACTGTAGTGGTGATTGTGTGGGTGTATGTTTGTGAGTGAGTGAGAAGAGGTTGGTATGTACCTGAGGTAGATTTATGCATATGTTTCTATGCAGCTGAGAGGTAGGTGTGGGAGCAGCAGGGGTTGTGATGTTAATGACAAATACGTGTCGGAGTCGGAGATAAAACCCCATACAGTGCGAAACCCTGACCTGGGCAGGTCCGTCCTACATATCTGCCACTGGCAGATACCCGAGGTGTCTTTTAAAACGTTCGCAACGTTGCATAGCTTTTCATGCCAATAAGGTATTAGTGTATTGAATTGCATATGACGGGATGATGCGTGTGGGTTATGTACAGGAAGTGGTAGTATGCAACTGACAAGCGTGTTAGTGGGTTTGTCTGCAGTTGGCAGGCGTGCTGATTGGTGTTGCATGTTTCAAGGAGAGCGTAGTGTTTATATACAAGGGCAGGTGTTTGTATAGGGCTGGTGGCGGGGGGAGCGGGCTGTGCACAGCTAGGAGCTGTGGGTGATCGAGGAGAGTGCCCTGGGCGGAGATAGGAGGGGGTACCCAGGGCTGGCTTGAGACTAGTGCAATGTGACTGTCGAGAGAGGGATACACCACGCTGGGGTCGGGGGGGAGATCCTGAACGCTTTCTTGGGGGCCACTCCCCTCCGGGCGTTTACATCTCCCTGGTCCCTCAGGGATCCTCTGCTCCCACATGAGACAGGTGGGGGCTGCCGTCGCAGCAGTAACATGCAGGCGGAACTGAAGACACCGGTGCCTTGTTGCAAGGGGAGGGGAGGCCGGGCTGGCTGTGCATTCATACCCCGGCAGCGAGAGAGGGGCGGCGGCGTGATCTGCAGTGAGTACCGGGCCCTTGTTCCAACTCCCACAGTCTCCCATGCCCGCGGGGGGAGAGGAGGAGCAGACGGGGGCGGCCTCAGTTGCCCCCGCAGCGCGGCCCGGCTGGAAGAGGGGGGTTGGGGAGGCCGCCCTCAAACGCTCTCGGGTTTAGAGACTTCGAAGCCTCGTTATAGACGCACAGTAAAACCAGACGCCGCGGAGCCGTCCGTTGAGAACGAGTTAACGTTCCCCGCGATGCTTCCGTCTCTTTCCCCTTGGCTAGAGTGCTCGTCCCACCCGCAGTGGGATGGTGCTGTTATCCCCCCAAGCACACACTCACTCCTGCCCCCCTCCACGCCCGAGGTTTGGGGTGTGTCGCAAGCCCCAAGTGCTCGCTAAGGTTTTGACTCATGTTCATTCACTCTTCTGCACCGGAGACTGTACATCTGCTACATCTTCTCTTCCTAGTTGCATTTCAGCAAATGACAGCAACGTTTTCGCTTACAAACTCCCAGTCCAAACAATAGATCGAAATACTAATTGGCATGAATTTTAGAAGAAATGTGACTCCTGCTTTTTTAAACCAAAAAGTTGCCTAAAATGAGAGTGCTGTGAAGTAACTTATCAATATATTTGTCTGGGATATGAATTGTGCTTGAGTATTTTTATATATATATATATATATATATATATATATATATAACATCTTACCAGGTTCATATGACTACATAAAGCAATTCTGGTTAAGGATGTAGACAATTAAATAATTATTAATGTTGGCTCTGATCTTGTAGTGATCTCTAGGGGAGTGAAATAGTCTGCTTAGAGAGCACTCACTGCAGGATCAGGGCCGTAGTGTGAGGTACACTTCTGAATTAAATAAGGAGACAAGCACCTTTTCAACAATTTTATCTCCAATATTATAAATTTTGCTTACTTGGCCTGCAGTTACAGGTTGGGATAAGCCAATTGATGGTAGCTATTCATAAGTACCTTGTAGGTAATTTGATCCATCAGTAACTTAAACAGTTTCTGGAGAACAAGAAAATAAATGATTACAGAGAACTTGCCTAAAAGTGTGGAGCTATTTAACAAGTGGGGCATAGATTATAATGAAGGTAACTTTCCTAAAATGATGGTTCAGCATGTTCCCATTTTGTGGCAAACAAAACAGATGACTGAATGATGGGTAGACCTGAATCAATAGAATAGATAAAAATTGGGTAGATAAAATTGCATCATGGGATTAGACATTGTCTCCATTAATAATAAAAATACAGTATGGCATATTGTCAGATGGCCTTATGTCTGTGTTTTCTTTTTTGCATGGTAAGAGAGCATATGAAATGTGGGACTGAAGGAGGTATTTGCTCAGAAAACAAATGTAAAATTCCTGTAAATAAAACCCGTCTTTTTACCTCTTTGCAGCTAACTGCCAATTCATTCTGTTATGAAAAGAAAAAATTAGCTTAAAGCAGTGGTTCTCAACCTACCGTGTTTCCCCGAAAATAAGACAGTGTCTTATATTAATTTTTGCTCCCAAAGATGCGCTAGGTCTTATTTTCAGGGGAGGTCTTATTTTTCCTGGAGCTTCGGGGCCTTATATTCCGGGGTGGCCTTATTATCGGGGAGGTCTTATTTTCGGGGGATGTCTTATATTACAGCGAGAGGCAAAACTGGAAGTAGGTCTTATTTTCGGGGGATGTCTTATTTTCGGGGAAACAGGGTATTTACCATCGTGGGCCGCATATGCAGTTCTCTATGTGTTATGTGGGCCGCAGCCACACAATATATATATTACCTGTCTGACCCCAAGGATGTCATATGGGCCGATTGGGCTGCAAGCAGCCTGTGGGTTGAGAAGCACTGGCCTAAAGGATATAGCACTCCACTACTAAAATAAAGAAGATAGGTAGGTGTACTCTTACTGGTTTGTCATCTAGGTATGACTTAGTATGAAAGAAGCATATGTCATGATCACGAACAATATGAACCTGATGAAAATAGCTATTCTTGACCAGACAAATGGTCTGATGTTTCATTTCTCATCCAATGTTTGAACAGTTGATGTTTTGAAGTATGAGATTTGATTACATGATGTTATCATGCACTGCTACAAATGTTTTTATTGATCATAACATGATTCTAGCACTGTATTAAATCCAACTACAGTGTTGGACTCTCATCATTTTCCTATTTTAACTGGTTACAGGGAACACTACAAAATTAATTGTGCTGTGGTGTGCTGATGTTGAAAGCATGTTAACCATAGAAAGGACAGTAACACTTTTTTAAAGTAATGAAGCCTAGTTGGCTTTACTTGTATACTTTGTGCTCAGATATGATCACATATCATTTATCATATACTTCATTTTAATACTAGTATCCTCAATATGTCATGCCACAGTCAGAATCATAGGCTAGAGAGGAAACAAGAGTTTTGTGGTAATACGTAAAGAGAAGCATTGCGGCTTGGAGCATCCATATTGGGTGAAGGGCCTTGGAGAAATCCTGAAAGCATACCACCATTGGCGATTATAATGGAGACTATATATCTAAATTTCTGCCAATGTAATGTTTCTCTGGGACTTTGTACCATGGGTTGTGTGACTGCTTTTTTGTACTTCCACTTCCTTCCCCAACCTATTATTTAAAATACTTACTTTAAAATTGTTTCCAATATTTGTTTTTCCAGGTTGGCCTAACTACAGTATGGTGCTGTTTCGGTATGTGTGCCAACTCTACAAACGATTGCTTCTGTCCAGTTTAGAAACTAGCTCAATAAATGTAGGTATTTGGGCCAGAAATATACATTCTTCAGCGGAAAGGCTGGAAGTGACTTATGACTATGGAATTAAAAAACAAACGATGCATAACCATGAAGTTCAAAAGCTACATCAAAGTGCAGATGATGAAGATTGTAGAAGACCACACATACCAGTGATGGTGAAAGAAGTTGTCAATTGTTTATCACCCCAGCAAGGGCAGGTGAGTAAAATGATTTCTTACAGTCTATTGTCCTAAGAGAATTATTTATTTGGTAGAGAAATAAAAACCACACTCTGCAACTTGTGCTGCTAAGAGCTCTACTGTATTAAATTGATTTGTGATTCAGATTAAGGTTTTATGTTTACCATCATAGGATTCGTTAATCTTGTACTCTGGAAAATCAAATTATAGTATTTGTCAAAATTATAGTAAATGTTTGAATATTCCCCTGCTCCCGTATCCAGTCCTGACAGATGAGTTCTATTGGGTCACTTCTGCTCTACGTTCCTAGAGTAACATAGGTAGGAGGGAATTCTCAGTTAATGAACTTCTGATGAAATAGCTGCTTCTTGTAGGCTTCAGGATATAATGCAGGACATATGTCCAATTAGGCCTTAAAGTAAATGGTATATATCAGTGGTTCTCAACCAGGGGTCAGGGGCCGTGAGCAGGTTTCCGGGGGTCCTGCAAGCAGGGCCAGCATCAGACTTGCTGGGGCCCTCGGCAGAAAGCTGAAGCCGCACCACCCGGGACTGAAGCCAAAGCCTGAGCAGCTTAGCTTCATGGGGGCCCCTGTGGCATGGGGCCCTGGGCAATTGCCCTGCTTGCTACCCCCTAATGCCGGCCCTGCAGAAAACTAATTGTTGTGCCAAGGATGGGCCATAGAGTTTTTATAGCATGTTGGGGAGACGGGGCGGGCTCAGAAAGAAAAAGGTTGAGAACCCCATGTATATATAATTATGGCAGGTTTTAGGTCTCTTTTATTAGATTTTTTTCCCCTGGTGCTTGTGAAACTCAGTGGGACTTGGGCACCTAATTCCCTTAGGAGCCTTTGAAAACAAATCCTGTGTGTGTAATTTGTGTGTTTTAATATAGTAGTGGCATTTAGCTGCAAAGTACCTAACTGCCAAAGCACTTAAAATAAATAGAATATTAGGACTCAATCCACCAAACAATTAAACACGAGTAACATGTTTGGGTCTGTGATATCTTAAATATGGTGTTGAACTAAAGGGATTCTATTTACAATGTTACATATTTACAATTCAGATGTGTTGATCTGTGAAATTTAATTGTTCTTCTTTGGAATGTTGGCTTCCTATGAGTTTATTGTTCCTTTGTTATCTCTGCGAGGCTTTTTTTGGAAAGAAATTACGATATAACGAGTGTTAAATGTTTTAAAACACTGGTTACTTACTGTAAATAGTCTGTTTTTACAATAGTTAAACAAGTGGCATCTTTCAAAATGACATAGAGCCCAAGAATGGCAAAATGATGCACAGGGTTTGTGACATGTCCAGGAATCAAAAGGGTTTCTTACGGTCAGGTGAAATTCCTTATAAAGCCATGATTTGTGACCTTCTGAGGATTTTTGTGGTCTTGAAATTGATGGGTCACTTTTGGATGAATTGAGAAACCAAATATGAAAGAAGAGAGAAAAAATTCTAATTGCTGAGTGTCAGTAGCATAACTCTTGCAATATGTGCATCACTAATTGCTTACTTTATACAGTTCAAGATATACAATGCCAGTCAAATATACTTTGATAGAGTTTATAAATAGGTCTTCTGGGACCTGGGTCAGAATTAAGATTGCTGTCAAAAGAGTTGAATTTTTACATGTGAACTGATAACTGAGTATGTAAACTGTATCTGTTTTTAATAATAAACTGTAGTTTGCACAAGGGGTATATTACTTAAATTTATTGAAGTCATTTTTGGAATAATTCATAGGTTCTAACTATTAATATAAAAATACTTGCTAAGTAATTTGAGAGGGAAGATGCATTCCTATCTATAAAATGAGGACAATAAATCTCTCCTACGTTGCAAAATGCTTTGGGAATTTTTAATGATAGGTTATAAATGTAAGGTAGTTTATTATTATTTAATGTCAGCCATCTTAGCCCTCCATCAGAATGTTGGTGAATTCTCAGTTTAATGCATGGATGTTCAAACCTTGTACAACTGAGGGTCATGCTGGCAGCTTTTGATAAATAAAGGGACACAGTTTTCAATAATTGGAACAGATTGAATTTGTCCTCATCATGAACATGGAGGTGCAGCCAGTGGAGAATATAGGAATCCGCATGAGTTGCTCCATCTGTGGATTAAGATGGAACTTTGTATGCTGGCACCTGCATTTTTCAGATTTCAACTCTGTATAGTCAAGATGAAGGCATCAGGAGACCAAATTGCATTTTAGAACTTGGTTGGACATGTTTGGCCTGCAGGATTCACTTTGGCCACACACTTGTTCAGTGGTGAGTACAAGTGATATGGTTTTGTGTGTGTGTGTGTGTGTGTGTGTGTGTGTGTGTTAGCATGTATATCAGTGGTGGGCAACCTGTGGCTCGCGGGCCGCACGTGACCCATCAGGATAATCTGCTGGCCAGCCGCGAGACAGTTTGTTCACATTGATTTTCCGCAGGCACGGCCACCCGCAGCTCCCAGTGGCCATGGTTCGCCGTTCCCGACCAATGGGAGCTGCAGGAAGTGGTGTGAGCTGCAGGGACGTGCTGGCTGCCGGTTCCCGCAGCTCCCATTGGCCAGGAACGGCGAACCACGGCCACTGGGAGCTGCTGGCGGCCGTGCCTGCAGAAAGTCAATGTAAACAAATTGTCTCGTGGCCCACCAGCGGATTACTCTGACGGGCTGCATGCAGACCATGGGCCATAGGTTGCCCACCACTGATGTATATTATTACACACACACACACACACACAAATACCCTCTATTAAAAGAACATTGTTAAAGTTGCGAAGTCCAACATTTGAAAGTTAGGAAATGCTAGTTTCATGATTTTCTGTCCAGCCTTAATTCTGATCCCTTGTGTATCTCTGCTCTGTACCAACTGAAGCGGCGATTGTATGTTGTGTAACGAAAGACTGTATCATAATGTATTTCTTAAATTTTGAGTGGTTGACTTTGCACCCTAAACAACATTCTTGTAAGACAGGTATTTGTGTTTGTGTATAAGTGCTTAGGGTGTTTTACCTTTTTTCTTAAACAAAACAAAACAAATTCTTTGACTGTCAATGGGATTTAGGCTGCTGCGTACCTAAGTCCCTTTTGAAAATAAGAAATAGGCTCCTAAATCATGTAGGCATTGTCACGCTGAACACACCCATGTCTAGATACCTTTAAAAATATTGGCCTAAGTTTTTTTTGCAACCCATTAGGCTTTCTGATTCAGTGGTCGTCATCATCAAGACAAATCCCAAGGGAACATAGCCTCCTTGCAGATTGAGCATCACTCAGATTGATCTCTAGCTAAATCCTTAAGACATCTGGCTGGACGTTCAGTCTATGTCTGTCACTGGTGATCTGATAGTGCCACTGAGTTTTTTGGCCATAGAGTGGTATTCCTTGGTAAACGTGCTCTGCAATTCATTGGTTTTTAATCCTAATAATATGTCTTTACCAAGATGGCTGCTGAAACTAAACCAGTTCTGATAGAGGTAATTGCTGGTTTCAGCTATAAATATCGTCATTGCTGATCTTGTCCTGCCACTTATTGTGGAGCAGCTGATGAAATGAAAACATTAATCCACTGCCCCTCAGCCTTTTTCAGCACCCATATCACTGCTCTACTATAAAGTTGGTATAATTGTGATTCTATAGATTCACAGATTTTTAGCAAGGTTGATGTCACGATGTCTGAACCAAGGCCACTAAATGGCTAGAAACATGAAGCAACTGCTGTTATACAAGTGTCCATGTATTTTGAGCATCCTCCAGCACTGTTTGTGGTGTAGCCCAGATACTTGACAGTTGCCATCTGTTTGATATCCTGTCTAAAGAGGTTAATACTAAATTGGTTGTAATTTGGAGTTGGAGGCTGCTTAATGGTAATGACCAAGGATTTAGTTTGGGATTAACCAAACCGATGCATGTTGCTTCTTGCCCAACCAGACTGGCTGTCAGCTGCTGTGATTCACTATATTGTGCCAACAAGACAATTTTATCAGTGTATTCAAGATCTCAAAGTAGGATGGTGTTCAGCTCAGTGTCACCAACGACTGCCTCTTTAAGCTTATCCATCAACCAATCAATGCCGATATTGAACAATGATGGTGACAAGATGCAGCTTGCCAAACTCCTGTGGAAACACGAAACTGCTGTGTATCTACCATTACTTCAAACACACATGCTTCATTCTGTGATGGTGGAGATAACAGAAGTTTCATATGTCTTATATCTTAGAATGGTGCAGTTCATCACCCAGGAAATGCCAGTGTATTTCTTTGGGTGGGGAGGAGAAGGGAACTCCTTTTAAAAAAACAAAATCACAAAAGGAACTAGAGTCATGGTTTTGTGTGGAATGACACTTACAGCCAGATTAGTTGGGGGTATTCTACATCTAAATCTAGGCTTAACTGAAATTTCATTTTAGCTTATGGTTCACTGTTGGAAGACAACATTGCAAAACACAAAGAAACTCATTCAGAAAGATTTATTGGGATATCAAAGTGAACTGTTACTGCTGCTCAACTAAGTTCAATAGAAGATCCACAAAATCCCATGTGCTTTATCTGGGATTCCACCATTGTTAATGGATAAATGTAAACAGCTTTTATGTCACTTTTAAAAACCATAGTAGGTGGATCAAGTATTTGAAGCATCAGAAAATATCAGGTTTTCTAAAGCTTTCAGAGCCTGCAGTTTTAGTTCTTTGCAAATAAATAGGATATAGTCAGTGACAGTGGGTCAGCTGGGTTATGCTAGTACAAGGGTCAACAGTAAAATGTTAAGTTAAATTCAGTCTGTATCTCACTGAGATGAATGGTGGAACTTCACTCAGTGCTATCATTTATCATCTTGGCTGTAGAATCAGGGCAGTGTTGCATTGATTTACATTCTAAAGGTTATCTTCATAAGCAGGCTACAATCTTTGTGTGTGTGTTTAATATGTGTATGTAAAATATGCCAGAGTTCCTTAATATTTGGAACTTGTTTTTTCCCCACATAAGAGGATTTCTCTTATCGCTGCTTTGAACA